ATTATAACACTAGATATTAAATTCAGTCAGAGAATGCCTATGGCATTAAGTCCGCCTTTATACTGTCTAGTATATAAAGCTATAAATAAAATAAATTACCATAATATAATGTCGACGATTTATTGTTATTGAACAATGTCTGTACCGTGAGTACAGCACACTGTTGTATTGCACCGTATAAACAGATCTGACCATACTGAAGAATGCAAATATTATACAGAGGATTTTGATCCGTTAGTGTAATTATTTTTGAAGCATCCTATTGAATTGAGTGTAAATGAATACTGTGTCGCGTGCGAATATCGTTCAGAATGTTTTAGTTATTTTCGAACTGAATACGAGATGAATTCCGTAAAACATAAATGAATTACAACATTTATTTAAAAAGAGTAAATTTTATAACAAACTAGCTGACCCGGCAAACGTTGTGTTGCCTTAAATAAGATTTCTAGGGAAATTATAGTTTAATATATAAAATTCTCAAAAACCTCATTCAACCACATAATATAGTAAGCGGCACGTAAGTTGGCAAGGTTTTGGTGTAGTGGGGGTAATGTCGCGCATAGTGTACATTGCAACAAAAAAATGGTCACTTTTATGGCCCGCATATATGTTAATTTTATTTTATAAAATTTTTATTTGCCATAATTTATTTTTAAGCCTGTGTGTTTAGAAGAAAGTTAAAGAAAAGAGAGGAATCCGTGAAGTGTATTAGGTGTTATAAATAAAATACAATTAAAAGTTAAAAAGTCTATTTAACAAAATATACTTAATATTAAAAATTATGTGTCGCCGTCGTCACTATCATTTTCTAATAGTGCTACCCCTTGGATTAAATTTATGGTAGGACCTGAGCTGGTGGAAGGAGTTGGCTCCTCATCGTTGACATAACGAAGAGTCGCTGTCGTCACTGGCGTAAATAATAAAACGCTCAGTGACTGAATCGACTATAATTATGGTCATTGGTATTTGGTCCTGCCATTGCAAACAAATATAAAACAATAACACTCGTAACAAAAACTAAATTTAAAATAATAATAACAACTCGTAACAAAAACTCAATATAAACAAAGGGTTCCTACAACTTTAGTAGGCACATGTGTAACCGGGAGCGAACGGAACGTGGACACGGTGCGGGAGGGGAGAGTCGACTGACTCACCAATCGTGCGCTCGGAACGGTGCTACGTCTTTCCCCGCGTCCCGCTTGACAACCAAAGAGACCTAAAAAACGACTTCTGCGCATCTAGCGACTCTTGCCAAGTTACGCGCTGGGGACTATACCTCATTATAACCAAAAAAAATAATTATAAAATAAAAATGTTTGGGGTGAACAACCCTTATCACTTAGGGGTATGAAATGTAGATAGTAGCCGATTCTCAGACCTACTGAACATACTATTGATACACAAATAAAACCAAAGAAACATGGCTGAAAAATGTATAGTGAGTAAGACAGGAGACCGGATTCGTCCTCATCCCTACTACGTGATGTTTGCTGGATGAGTGGTGACACCTGGCGGGGATAACTGATCGATTGATAGTTGATCAGTAGTCGACCGGCGAGGGCAGGAGATCAAATTGAATTAAAAAAAAATCATAATTAAAGGAACTTGAAATTATAAACTCTGAATAACAATTTATCATACTACAATTATAATATTTGATTGCCATCTTGCAACCTTATTGCGGATCTGTGCATAGAATAAAAAAAATAAAAATCGGGATGGAAAAATAGGGGTTGATCGTATAAGAGTGAAAATTGAGAGTAATATATTTTTTTTTATTTTAAGTCATGACAAAATAAAAACAAAATTCTTACAAAAAAATTTAGTTTTTAATTAACAAATAAAAAATAAGGGTTGATCGTAGAGGGGTGAAAATTTAGGGTTGTATGTATTTTTGTATGCTGTACCATAAAAAAATAAAAACAAAAATTTTTGTCTAAAAAATAAAAAAATAAATTTAGGGGTGGACTACCCCTAACATTTAGGGGGATGAAAAATAGATGTTGGCCGATTCTCATAGATACCGGATAAGCACAAAAAATTTCATCAAAGTCGGTCAAACCGTTTCGGAGGAGTATGGCAACGAAAACTGTGACACGAGAATTTTATATATTAGATATACATTTAAAAAATAAACTAAATGTTACAAATAACATGACTCTAAACAAAAACGTACTTAATTGTTTTATATAAGGTAATAATATTAAATATATTATTTTGTATATCAAAGAGGCATCTTTTCCTTAGGCTTGTATGTTAAAAAGTAATCTCTATATTGTGGTACGATGACAGGATTCTGTCCGGGTAGACCGCAGTTGGTTAGAGAAGTCTTCACTGCTTCCTCATTAAGTCCCTTTACTTCACACAGTTCAGACAAAAACTCGAGCCATTCGTCGTAATTTATCTCTGATTTGCTAGAAAAAATTGTATCAATGGTTAACGTTAAATATGAGTGAATTTTAATAAGCTTTATTCTATACGTGTATTTTTAACGATCTCTCGTTGAATAAATTCACTATTTCCCCTGCAGAAAACTGTTATCCATCTTGGGTTGTATAAGCCGCATAAGAAAATGTAATGGATACAGTTAATTAAAAAAAAAGTGAATTTTGAAACTGAAAAATCATTTTCCTGCGTCTTTAAATGACATATTTTTTGAATTAACTTGAATACATTTATTTAAAATCTATTTTTTTTATACAGGCGAGCATATCGCCTATCTGTTGTTAAGCTCTTATTTATCGACCATCTTACCTTAAATTCGGAACGGACGGAATTCAAAGTGATATTATGAAATAATTAGACAGTGCTTAGATACACAGTTCTAATAAAAGTTTCAGTTCATTATAGTGGAGAATCATTTAATGATCTCCAATCTCACAAAAATTTAAACGTTTCTGCCCCACGCTGTGAGCAGCAGCAAAGTTGGGAATATAAGCTCACTGCATACAAAATTGTTCAGCGAAAGTCGTAGATACCGGAGCACCTTTCACTATCGCGATTCAAAAAGCGATCCCTGCCATCTGTTGACGACACTCGAAAAGACCAGCGCCCAATACAGAACTGAGAGTTTGAAATGTGTTTACTTACTTTCTCTCATTATTAACGAAGGGCTTTCTAAATTATCACTATTATGATTATAATTAAAATATTTCGATTTCAATCTTTATATTTTCTTCATGTTATATAGTTCGATTACTTTAGGATTCTTCAACACTCAATTGCAAATAATTGTTGAATAAATTAGAATAACAAAATAAAATTATGTTTCAGTTATTATTAATTTATGTATATATTATTATGTATCCGGGAGGTCTCAATTTTTGTTTCGTCTAAATGCAATCTTGTTATTATGTAAATTAACTGATCCGGGGGACACGTCAGATGGCAAACACTCCCCGTGTTTGCCATCTGCTGTCGCAACGGAGACAGATTCACAAAATACTTTTACACATTTAATACTAAAACAACAATTTATTATACACACGTTGAATAAGGAGTAGTATTTTAATACTGCGTCACCAAACGTCCGATTATTGTGTAAACAACATTAAGCTCGTCTTGCATAATTCCACTTACTTCCACAAAAATATATTATTTGTAATAAACAAATTAATAATAGCGTGCCACTAAGTTGGCGACATAACTAAATGGCACGGATTTTCGACCGTAACTGTCTGGCGTTCATATAAATCTGTTTACATGCGAAATAAATAAACGCTGATCCAATCCTCTTTGTGAGGATTATTCGAGGTTAAAATTGTTAATTAATGCGATATGGAACTGAAATAAAAGTGCCTATGAATAATTAAGATAAATGTTTTTTTATATATATTTAATATGGTTTTTTTTTTTCCATTTCCATACACCTCCTAGTTACATTCATCTTGTCTCTGCGCGTCACATGTCCATACCACACTAACCGTCCGCTCTTTTATTTGTTAATTACCGGGGCTACTTTCACACTTCCTCTGATATACTCATTCTTTATCTCGTCCATTCTTGTCACTTCATACATCCATCTCTTCTCGCATTCGCATCTCTGTCGCATGCACTCCTCTTTCATGCTTTACTTTCCTCACCCAATATTCAGATCCATACAGTACGACAGATCTAATGATTGTTTTGTAAATTTTCCCCTTGAGCTCAAGGGGCATTCTACGATCGCATGCCGTTGCAGAGACCTGTCGTCATTTCACCCAACTATCGTTTATTCGGTTTGCTACGTCATGGTTTATGTTGCCTTCGTTCTTGAGTATAGAGCCCAGGTACTTGAAGTCGGAGCAGTCCGGCAGGGATACACCATCTAAGGCGATTGACGTGAAGTCTGAAGAACTACCAAAATCACAAAACGTGTACTCAGTTTTTGTTTGACTGATCTTCAGACCCACGTTTTCCCACCTTTCTTTCTATTTTGCCATTCTCCTCTGTACCTCAGACCTTTCCTTTCCAACGAGAACAGTGTCGTCGGCAAACAGCATACATCAGGGTGCCTCCTCCTGTATATCCTATGATAGGGCATCCGATGATAGGGATTATTAGGATGAACAGGTAAGGGCTTAAAGCTGTTCCCTAGTGTAAGCCGTGTGAACTCTTCGGTGTAGCCAGCTGCGAAGCGTACGTACGTACTGGTTCTACCGTACCTAGCTCGAATAAGCCGCTGGTATTTCCCTGGCACCCCTTTCACTTTCATGCTTTACCATAAAACCTCACGGGGAACTCTGTCCATACGCCTTTTCCAAATCAAGAAACACTATGTGCAAATTTTTATTTGCACGGCGGTATTTTTCGCATCATTGGCGAAGGGAAAAAATGGCATCCGTTGTATTCCGTCCTGGCACAAACCCGAACTGGTTCTGTGACACCTCACTCTTCTCCTCTCTCATTCTTTTCGCTATCACTTTCTCCCAAGCTATCATACTATGTCACATGAGCTTTATTCCCTTATAATTGTTGCATACTGTTAGGTATGTAAGCATCGGCGGCTGCGTCCGCCGTCAATATAATAAAGTAGTGCGTAAACAACCGGCTTTGTCATTACACGCGTCCTCGGACACACTACTGGCGACGAGCTTTACGTATACCCACACGTGACGAAAAAAAAAAAATGTTCGGGACGTCTTCTTTAAGTGTTTTGTCGAGTTTTGATCATCAAAATCAAGATTGGAAGACGTATAAGAGTAGATTGCAGCAATGGTGCATAGCTAACGGCATCGATGAGCAGTCTGATAAAGCCGGAATCAAGAGAAGAGCAGTACTCCTCAGCGCACTCACAGAGAGTACCTACCAGCTCGCAAGCAACTTAGCGTTACCCGACGATATTGCGACAAAGAGCTATGAAAGCATTTTAGGTATTTTAGATGAACACTTTATTCCAAAGCGGTGCGGATTCGCAGAGCGGTATAATTTTTACGCAGCGATGCAGCAAAATGGTGAAACTCATGGGCAATGGGCCGCACGCTTGCGAGGTCTGGCCGCACACTGCGCTTTCAAAAACCTAGAAGAATCTCTGCTAGATAAATTCGTCATGGGAATGTTGCGAGGACCCGAGCGAGAAAGGCTTTTTGCACAAGAAATCAGAGAGCTGACGTTGAGTAAAGCTGTGGAGCTGGCAGAGAGCGTGCGGTGCGCACGAGAAGGTGCAGCTGCAGCGGTAGTGCCGGAAACATCCGGTCGGGAAGGCGTTTTCAAGATTGCCCAACAAGCAAAAGGGAGCGCGGACCGAACAGCCGGCGAAAAATGCTTAGTATGTGGTTACAAAAATCACAAAACGTCAGAGTGCCGATTTTCTAAATTTAAGTGCAGAATATGTGATCGTAAAGGTCATCTCCGTAGAATGTGCCCCAGGAACAAAGTGAAGCACTTGGAGCAAGGTAACGACGATGACGAGGGCGATGACGGTGAGTTTTTGAAAAATATAAGTTGTCCAAATGGTGAGCCTTTGTACGAGACCGTGTGTTTAGAAGGTCGTAAATTTAGATGCGAAATTGACAGTGGTTCCCCTGTGTCTGTTATATCCGAAAAGACATACAAGCGTTGGTTTTCCGGGGTTCCGTTGTCACCACCAGCGAAAAAATTATTTACGTATGATGGGGGTACCTTGAACATAATAGGGGTACTTAATATGAATGTCGAGTATTTGAAACACTTAGCGTTATTGAGTATCTACGTTGTTCGGGATGGGGGACCTCCCTTACTAGGCCGCGACTTTATGCGTGAATTTAAATTAGAACTCATTTCAACCATTGGTTATTGCAAAAACGTTGATGTTACTACGGTAATGGAACTGACAAAACTATTTCCAAAGTTATTTTCAAACGAACTAGGTTGCTTTAACAAATTCGAGATCAGTTTAACATTAAAAGATAACGCGAAACCGGTTTTTATAAAGTCGCGACCGGTACCTTTTGCATTAAAAGATAGAATTAATGCAGAACTCGAACGGTTGGTTTCCTTGGATATTTTAGAACCAGTAAAGTACTCAGACTATGCCTCACCAATAGTCCCGGTTCTAAAAAATGACGGCAGCGTTCGTATTTGTGCGGATTATTCTTGTACAATCAACAAACAACTACTCGTGGAGAGATATCCTCTACCATCGGTTCAAGAACTGTTTACTAAACTTCATAACGGTGAGGAGTACAGTAAGCTAGACTTGTCTATGGCGTATATGCAATTTAGAATTAATAAAAAATCACAAAAATTAACATGCATTAACACCCCGCGTGGCCTATTTAATTATACTCGGTTAGTGTTCGGTTTGTCGAGCGCGCCAGCTATCTTTCAACGGGCCATGGAATCGTTGGTAGGGGACATGGAGGGCGTGTATTGTTACTTGGACGACCTGGTACTCACTGCTGAAAATAGGGTTCTGCACGAACGAAAATTAAAAGAAGTTTTGTGTCGTCTACAGGATGCGGGCTTGACCCTGCGTAAGGACAAGTGCGCATTTTTCCAAAACGAAGTATCATACTTAGGCTACACCATAGATAAAAACGGGATAAGAAAAAACCCAGACAAAGTAAAAGCAATTTTAGATGCCGCTATTCCAAAAAATTTAAACGAGCTACAATCATTTTTAGGGCTTATAAACTACTATAGGAATTTTGTCCCAAACGCATCGTCTATATTAAGCCCATTACACTTCTTATTACAAAAAGGCGTCAAATGGCATTGGAACTATGAGCAAGACGCGGCTTTCACTTGCGTAAAGAAAATGTTAGCATCGGAACAGGTGTTAGCACATTTTATTACTGATGCAAAAACAATCGTGACTGTAGATGCGTCCCCGGTCGGGTTAGGTGCTATCCTGTCACAGGAGGATCGGAACGGGGTCGAGAGACCGGTGTCGTACGCATCTCGCTCGCTAACGCCTGCAGAAAAAAAATATTCACAAATCCAAAAGGAGGCGACTGCTATAATATTTGGTGTGAAAAAGTTCCACCAATTCCTTTATGGTAGGTCGGAACCTTTTACTTTGCGTACGGACCATAAGCCGCTTACGGTAATTTTCGGAAATAATAGAGGTATACCAGAAGTAACAGCTAATCGATTACAACGTTATGCAATATTCTTAAGCGCATATAACTATAATATAGAATATGTAAACAGCGCATCGAACACAGCTGACTTCTTATCGCGGGCCCTACCCGTAGCAAAACCGGGTTCCGAAGGTGAGGAAGGCGTGCGGGACGAGGTAGCAGCGTACGAGCATATCAGTTTCGCAGTGGAGGGATGCCTGCCAGTCACGAGGCAAGATCTGCAGCGAGAGACGGCGTGCGACCCCATACTAAAGAGCGTAGCTAAGTATGTAGCTAACGGCTGGCCACGTAAGTTATCGATGCTATCAAATCAGAGTCTTAAGCCTTATTACTTATGTCGAAACGATATCGCACTAGAAAATGGTATTCTCATGCGTGGTCACAAAGTAATTATTCCACAAAGTGTACGCGGCAGAATATTGGAAGAACTACACAGCTCGCACTTTGGTATCGTTAAAATGAAGGCAGACGCTCGCAGTAGATTGTGGTTTCCGGGTATAGACGCTGAGCTAGAGAAACTGGCAGGGACGTGCCGGGTGTGCGCACAACTGCGCCCGTCACCACCGCGCGCGGCCCTTGCACCTTGGCCCTATCCTGATGCCGCTTTTCATAGGATTCATTTAGATTTTTTCGGTCCATTAAATAACAAAGTTTACTTAATAATAGTAGATGCATACTCTAAGTGGATAGAATGCTATGACATGAATAGCAATAGCTCCTCTAAAGCCGTAATCGCGAAATTATGCGAATTCATGTCAAGGTTTGGGGTACCTAAAACTATAGTGAGTGACAACGGAACCGCTTTTGCTTCCCAGGAGTTTAGCAATTTTTGTATGTTAAATGACATAACACAATTATTTTCTCCAGTATACCATCCGTCGAGTAATGGACAGGCGGAATCATTTGTTAAAATTGTTAAAAAAGGTATCAAAACTATTTTTTCGTCTGGGTGTAGAACTGATGAAATTCCGATACGATTAGCGAAATTCCTTTTTGATTATCGTAATTCGGTAAATAGTACCACGGGAACGTCTCCGGCTCAGTTGGTTTTTGGTCATCCACTCCGCTCGCGGTTAGACTTGTTAACGGTAAACACATCGCCCTCGCAATCCGAGTTACCCTTGCTAATCAGTAACAAACAGTCCTCACAGGCTAAGAATTATGGTGGCAAAATTACCAGAGACTTAGAGCCGGGGGAACAAGTATGGTTCAAACAATATATTAATAAGTCGAAAAGTTACTGGGCAAAAGGGGTTGTGATAAAAAAGACAGGCAAAGTTATGTACGACATCAGTTTTCCAGATCAAAATAAGATTATTAAAAGGCATAAAAATCAACTATACGTGTTTAAAGGGGAGAGTGGACCTTCAGAAAACTCTCACACATTCAACGTATGGGATATACCAGATCCACGGAACAGCGACTGCGGGAGCGAGGCAACAACAGCTGGATCTAAAGGGGCTTTAGTGACAGCAACAGGATCAGCTCCACCAGCAGAAGTAGGGTCATCGTCATCATCGCATACCTGCCAGCCAGCAGGAACGACGCAGTCTGTGGAAGCGGAGACTATGGGCAGTGCTGACCAAGATCAAATTACTGCCACTATAAGCCCACAATCAGCAGAGCCCGTAACTCCCACCAGCTGCTCACCTTCCAGTGGAAGAAATAGCCCACAGTTTAGTACGCCACAGCCAATATCACCGACACTAGATAAGCCGGCTCCCGGCCGACCACGCCGGAATAAGCCACCCATTGATTTCAGGAAGTTCTTTTAGGATAAGGGGGACATTTGGGAGGGAGAAATTGTTAGGTATGTAAGCATCGGCGGCTGCGTCCGCCGTCAATATAATAAAGTAGTGCGTAAACAACCGGCTTTGTCATTACACGCGTCCTCGGACACACTACATACCTATATCACCTTTGTCTTCATCTTCTTAAGTCATCTTAAGTACAGGTATCTTTTGAACCAATCGTCAGGCATGGCCTCTTCTTGGAACAATTTATTGAAGAATAAAAGTCAACCACGTCCATCCATCCACTTTCAGAAACTTCAACACTTTTATTGGGATACAATCTGGTCCAGTAGATTTACCATTCTTAATATTTTGTACAGCCTGGCATACTCTACATACAACCTTTAGACGAATATATGACGTATCATTAGATTCGTTTTAGTTAGATTGATATAGGTTGTTAGCAAAATGGAAAATAATAAGCGAACAATTACTACTCATTGTGTTCTGTAATTGAAGATAAATTTGTCAAAAATATGTTATAATATAGTTTAAACCTGCATAGTGCATTTTGTTCCTGCATAGTACTGATGCACCTTATAGCTTTTCTCCAATCCCTGTACTACAGCAGCAAGGGCGCTGTAAAGATCGGCAATACTTTGTTAAACCAGTTTAAGTTCAGAAGAGAACTACGCCAGGGATATACTCTGTCATCCATCTGTTTAATATATACGGCAAATACATCTTGCATAAGACCCTAGAAAACTAAGATGGAGGCATCACCACCGATGGCTTCAGAGTGACAAACCTACGCTACGCAGATGACACAACTCTGCTTGCTACAACGGAAGCGGAGATGACAGAGCTTTTGAACAGGATGGAGCACACAAGGCCAACCCTTGATTGACCTAAGATTGAACTTGCCATCAACAAATCCAAAACCAAAATTATGGCCGTTGATCGCACAAAAAAGTTGGAGCTTATCGGACCACTAAGCCTTGAGCCTGTTGACAAATTTATTTACCCAAGCTCCGCACTAACAATCCTGGATATAGTGAACCTGAAATACGATGGCGTATCGAAATCACCGTAAATCTGGAAAGACCGTAACTTTACCCAAAAAATGAAAACAAAACTGGTGTTCACACTCATTTATTTCTATTTTTCAATACGGTGCGGAGACCAGGAGCAGTGGACAAAGCAGCTGATCGCAAACGTGTGGATGTTCTTGAAATGTGATTCTGGAAGATAATGATCCGGATGCCTCGGACCGACGTGTCTATCTTAGAGCAACTGAAGATTAAAACAAGACTGTCCACACTCTGCCTTCGCCGCGTACTCGAGTACCTCATATTCCTCGGGAAACATCTGATAGCTATCCATCCATCTAAGCAATAAAAAAAAAAAGCTTAGAGAAACTATTCGTGACAGGGAAGATCGATAGAAAGAGACCGTGCAGCTCGACAAGCTTGTTTGATCAAATATGCACCACATTAGAAACCCCATTCCATGAAACCCTTCACGCGGCTAATAATCGGAAACGCTGGAAAGACATAGTAAAAATTGAATTCTGTATAAACATGATGGTCACGACCCTCAGCAGTGAGGAAAGGACGCGAGGAGAGTGTGCATTTTCAATTACTACGTTAATTTACTTTAACTATTCCTAACAGTTTTAATTTACTTTCAATCGAATAATTAAAAAGTGTGAAATTAGTGCTGCGTTTTAGTTTGAAGGCTAGGCGGGAACGAAAGTTTGAAAGCACTATGCAGGCAATTATCTATCTAGTCCATTCTCATAGTCCGTAAAACATGTTCCTAATTTTTATTCTATTTAGCGGTACGTTCATTAGCTTTTGCAATTGTTCAAAAAACTATCGAAGGTATGAGAAAAAAAAATAACCGTCTCAATTTGTTACTAAATTACACCATAAAATAGGGCTTAAAATTATGAAAACGGTAAATATCGTTCTTTGATTTGTGTGTGGAACAAGAGTTAACTTTATTCTTTCAGAAGTTTTTTTTTCGGCCGAGGAACATCAATGTTCTCTAGCACCTCCAAAAAATGAATCATTAATGGCACACCTCTGTTAATAGACTACCTTTAGTGCCAACAACTGTACAGATAAACAAACTAAATACTCGGGGAGTATTCAACAACAAGATGCAAATATCGCTGGCACGATTGGCAAAGTATATCCGCGCCATCTATTGATGACATGCGAATATTCCTTTCAGAATTACACAGGTGCTGACAATATTATTATTGTTCTACTACCTACGTGAAGTGTTTGTTGTATAAGCTCTCGAAAAAAAATTTTTTTTTCTTACCAAACAAATCTTACAAAATTTTGATTGATTGATTGACAGCTTACTGTCATGTCGGACTTCCAATAATAATATTAAGCGTATAATGAATCAACATTGAATAGTTTAATGGAAAACAAAACAGCTTACCCTAATTGAAATTACTTCCAAGATACAATCTCGGGTTTTTTTACTGTCTCAAGCCTCTTACGGACTTTCTGGACATGTGGCTACGCGTATAGTAATACATTCGCTGTACGCGTACCCCGCGAGCCAGGCTAGCGGGCGATCCATTCGCAGTCGGTATTTAGTCGCGAGTCAAAGCCGGCACAATGGCAAGCCACGCACGCGTTCTCGTGTTTCGATAATGAATTATGGAATACGAAATCGTCGGATTATAGAAATGCTTCATTACGTGAAGATGCGTGGAGAGACATTTCAACAAAAATGAAGATTCCTGTGAAAGACACAGACATTCTAGTAAAATAAATTGCTGAATTTTCAGTTTCGTGACTTAAATCGTACATAAGCCTGTTTCCATATTGCTGTCGATCGCGATATAATTTTTTAATTCAGTATCGCGGTTTCTTCTATGTCTATAAAAACGCGGCAAACACCGTAGCCGTTCTCTTCGTCAGCATTACACAAGGGTCGCGCGTACACTGGTTTCTTTCGGCTCGCACTGATTACGCGTAGTTGACTCGTGTTGCTTTAGAAACGGGTATGTAAAAAGGTACGCGTACCTTTTTATAGGCGTATCTTGGGTACGCGTTCCTTGGAACGCAGAATCCATACGAGGCTTTTAACATATTGTTTTATTTCCGGTGACTCGAATCATTTTCAGTTTTCGTGGTTACGGACGACTGTCCCTTTCCCTGATCTGATCGTATAGCATACCCTAAACCACGAGAATACGACTCTTTAAATCCGTCCCGGGGCCCATTTTCTTATTATAGATGTAGTTTGTTAAAGTGGTACCTTCTAGACGAACCAAGCCCATGCGTCCATTTTACAAACTCCTCCGTTTTATTATTAAAAAAAAATCAGAAAACATTGAACACTATGTAACGTAACGTTTTTAACTACTCGAAAGCTTTGTTTAGTTCGTTTTGTGATGCTATTCGAGGTATACCGAATCACTGGCTAGCTAGACTACGCTGTGGCTACGTTCCAATTGAAACTTTTGAATTCTTTATGAAAAAATACGAAAAATAAAAAATAAGTCTAGTGCATTCGTATCTTATTGTTAACTAGCGACCCGCCCTCGCTTCGCTTCGGAAACATTAAAACACACATGAAACCAAAAAAAGAAAATAAAAAATAAAATAAAAAAGTAGCCTATGTTCATCAGGGACAATGTCGGCTTCTAATGGAAAAAGAATTTTTCAAATCGGTCCAGTCGTTTCGGAGCCTATTCGAAACAAACAAACAAACAAATCTTTCCTCTTTATAATATTAGTATAGATACGATACACGATTTCTAGTATTTATTATAAAATCTAGGCAATAAAAAAAATGTGCTCAACTAAACGCTTAGCACTAGTTTATTTTTTATTGCTCACATGGGTGGACGAGCTCACAGCCCACCTGGTGCTAAGTGGTTAGTGGAGCCTATAGACATCCACAACGTAAATACACCACCCACCTTGAGATATAAGTTCTAAGATCTCAAGTTTAGTTACAACGGCTGCCCACCCTTCAAACCGAAACTACGACGATAGGCCACGACTTTATCTAGCCACGTTTTTAAGAAATAAATTTCACGTTACACATTAATTATAATGACAAAACTATTCAGTCTGCCTTGATAGTAGGGAGTTCCAGCCCGGGTTGTGGGGTTCGATTTGAGGCCTGTTCCGTGCCCCCATAAAGGAGACGATGACCTCCACACACAAACATTCAGTGTTAAATCTAGTGTTTACGCTTCGAGCCTTTGATCCCACTACTGTTTCACCAGAATGCCTTTAGACTCGTTATCAAATTTCACCAAACAGAAACCCCTTATTGCTGTGATCGTTTGCGAAGAGGTTTGAACAGACTTAACTCTTTATCATTCAAGCTGCCATTCCAGGGAAGTATTGTGCGGATTCACAATGAATTAGATCTGTCACAGTTCGGTCAGTTCGTAGGCTTTGAGGAATATAATCCACAAAATTATCGATCCTCAGCGAGCATTTTGTAGAATTACTGTAACGCGTTTATATTTCATATACTATTCGATAAGTTCACTTTTTGTTCACAATATATTGTGGTGTACATATTAATGATAGAATGTGGGACTGTTTGTTCCAGTTATAATTTTGTGTAATATGTATATTTTAAACAGCAAGACACGTGTTTTTTTGCTCCCACATTACTAATTGGTAGTAAATTCGTATTTGAAAAATAAATGCAAAAAAGGAAAAGCTATATTTGATTTTATTTTAATGCTTTATCTTTCATCATTATCATTATCCTGCCCTTCTCGCAGTCACCTGGGGTCGGCGCAACATGTTTTCTCCTTCCATACTCTTCTATCATATACCATTTCTTCGCTCACTCCCCTCCTACCCATATCGTCTTTCACACAATACATCCATTTCTTCTAATGCTTTATCTTTATAAGTACCTTTTGCTAAATGCAAGGCATGTGAAGACGTGAACAAATAAATACACCAACTCTCTATATTATATTGTATTATTAATATTTTTTATTTATGGATTCACATTTAAGAAATATTATTTAATATTTTTTTCGATAAATGTTTGTATGTTTTTTTTTTATCAATACGAACACGTTTGAATTAAAATTATTCTATTGATTTTGTATTGCTTTTTTTTTGAAGCTACCATCAAATGAACGTTTCATGATTGATGGATGTGTAAAACTTACTATCATTACCTGTACTTATTAAAGATAACTCCGGTGTCAATCGTCGTGATTCTACGGTCATCCAAAACTTTCGCCTGTCTGAACCAAAAATCCGATTGGTATAATGTTATTGTAGTACCATCTCTTTTGTTCTCAAATAGCTTGCTGAACTCAATGAACTGATTGTCCAAGGTAGCTTGCTCCTCGTCACCCATTGTTGAAATAAAGTCTTACCGCTTAATTTTAAGATGTACTATTGGTTGTGCTGGTCGCTAAAAACAATTGATTTTTGTTTACGAATTGTAACATTATAGAAGACGTCTATTACCTATCTGAAGCAGGAATTACTTATAAAAATTTAGAGTGTAAGCATATTATACTGCATTGAAAAGTCTATTTTGAGATGAGGTGAGCATTATTGAGCAATGCGGGAAATTTATTTATGCTACATTTAATAAATATTTCAAATTTGAACGCTGAACCACACGCTTTCCGTAAAGTTGAGAACAAGAGAAATGGAAAAAGCATGAATTTAAAGACTAAATTAGGCTTAAAAAGGTGAAAAATAATAATCATAAAATAAGAGTGTTGAATTGGTGATGAAGCGAAAGATAAAGGTAAAATGATTAAAAAATATAATGGAATCGCAACCACGAGATGGTAAAAAGAAAAGGGAAGACACACGTTAATGAATGTCATAAGAAAAATATTCTGGAAAAACCTCATCAAGAAAAGGAAAAGCTGGCAGCAGACGAACTGATCACCAAACCCAAAAATCTAACGTCCTAAAATTTAAGTTAATGTGGTGAGAGAATAATATGTTTAGTTTAGCGTGAGCAATAAATGTTTAACAACTTAACAACATAAAAATTATAATGATATCTTACAAATAAATATTGCTCGGAGAGCACATTCTCCAGTGATCGTCGTAAGTTTGTGTTAAGAACTCCGCAAAGATTGTTAAAACTTTAGGGTAGTCCTAATAAAATCTTTGGTGATCACAGTGATTGGCGGCCTTAAAATCCTACCACCCCTTCATTATTAAATTGAAACAATACTTAAGACGGAGACCAACCACATGCTATCGCAAAATCATCTGACTTCTAGACCAAAAAAATTGTACTATTTTTTTTTGTTTATTGCCTATCTGGATAGACGAGCTCACGGCCCACGGTTAAGTGGTTACCGGAGCCCACAGACATCTTCAAAGTAAATGTCGCTTAAATTTATTTCTCAGTTCACACCCGATACAGTTATGTTTCACTTACATTCCTGAGCGAACCCAATTGAAATGTTCCTAAACTAATTTCCGACTCGTAAATTTTTGGATCAATGGCAAAATTTCTGTGAAATTTGAGAATGCCATTGCAGGTGAGAAGTGTCCCAGCTGTGTGAGTGAAAATAGCTTTGAAAGCGTACAATGAAAGCCGATGTCAATAAAAGCTGCAGACGGCTTTGCACTCCGAGAACAACTCACAAAATGGACACTCGACTCTTCGTATCTCCGTTAAAAAATCCTTTTTTGTTTTTATTTCAGTTGAGAAAAAATAATTGAATAGATAACATGAATGTGTAAATTACTACCAAAAAAGTGTAAAAATACCTCACCCAAAAATAATCAAAAAAATCTTTATAAAATACATGTATAAATAATTACAAGACATTTAATCAATGTATATTTGACTGTTGCTAATAACAACACAACAGCTCTTATCTATGCTTTCTCTGTGTTGTTAGAGCATAGAGTATAGACTTAAAGAACAGCCACTAAATAAAGTGATACCCGCTGCTTATTCATAGAACGTTTAATCCGTAGCCTCGCAATACCCGTAGCTAATTTCGTAGAGGCTTCAAATTCGTAGCCGGTTTAGTTTTTAAAGCCTTTTAAAATGTAAATTGTTGTAATAGGTTATAGGACTTACGGTTTCAATACAAATTATATTGTGTATTGTTTTATTTATGTAATAATATTGCAGTGGAATATTTTTTGGATTTACATTTTTCTTTCTTCGCATTGGTGATGCCGTATCGAAATATTAATTAGGATTATAATACTGAGTTTCTATTGTCAACACATGTTGAATGAATAGTCTTCTGAATCTGGAAGTATTGTGCACACAGACGGCTGGCGTATTTTCAGTAAGGTAAGGTTTGAAGTCATCGATAACACGTCCGGTGCATTTATATGTAACGATGCACCGGTGTTAGAATCCCGCAGGCAGGTACCAATTTTTCTAATGAAAATGTACTTAAAGTACTTAACAAATGTTCACGGTTGACTTTCACGGTGAAGGAATAGCATGGTGTAATAAAAATCAAACCCGCAAAATTATAATTTGCGTAATACTGGTGGTAGAACCTCTTGTGAGTCCGCACGGGTAGGTCGCCGCCCTTTTTTTTTTTTAAAGCTGGGGAATCCGTTTACGGATAGGTCAAGAGGGGTAGGTAGGTACCACCGCCCTGTCTATTTCTTCCGAAAAGCAGTAATGCATTCGGCTTCAAGGGTGGGGTAGCCGTTGTAAATATACTGCGACCTTAGAACTTATATCTCAAGGTTGGTGGCGCATTGACGTTGTAGTTCTCTATGGGCTCCGGTAACCACTTAAAACCAAGTGGGCTGTGAGCTCGTCCACTCATCTAAGCAATAAAAAAAAGATAAGACTAGTCTATTGTTCTACAGTCATAGTCTCAATTTACTACAAAAATCCGAGGTTTGTTCCGAACATTTTCACTCACTTTTTCTGTTTTATTGTAAATTTATTTACGATACGAGTAAATTATTACGTATCTATTACGAATAAGAGATTCTAATTTTTTTTTAAGATGAGCAGATGTATCGTTGCCGCTGGTGTTCCGGAATAAACCGCTGGACCAGAACCAGCCTGCTGTATTGGAACGCCATACACCGCTCATAAGCTGTTCCGTAGAAGCTCCGTAGAACTGCTGCCACGTAGCGCGTTAGAGCGCGGGTAGCTCCTCCGCAGGTCGTCCCATAACCTTCACCGGGGTGAGGTCGCCGCCTACAATAGCCGGACCCAGACAAAAGCGATGCAGTTATCCGCCACAAAACTTGCATCAACCGGAAGCTGAGAATCCCTCGGTCACGGCTCAACCATTCTGCTAGGACCGGGCGCCTCGACTGTCCAAAAAATGGCTGAAGGATTCGCCAAACAGCGACACCACGGTTCTAGTGTGGACCACCGAGATTGGAGCCTCTGCGCTCTAATCGTTCGAGGCTCGTCATTAGATACGTGACTCCTCCAAGCATTGGGGACCCAACGAATGCCTCTGCATGTATGTCATCAGCGCAATCTGCTGTTTTCATTTTAAATTTACTTTTACCCAAAATTGGGTAAAATGTAATTTGCGCAACAGTAAAAGTCAGATTTTTAATATTATTTGTAATCTTTCAAAATGAATATATATATTTTTTTTTTATAAATATGCTTGAAAAATTTTGTGGCACTTTCTAAAATTATCAATTGGATTATTATATTAAATACAATTATTGTAGCAGTCTCTCTAAAATTAAATAATATTTTAAATTATCTTTCTGTAAAAAAATCTGCTGAACGACACAAGAAGGCCTCATCTGAGGACTTGCTGCGTTCGCATTTTCACTTTTAACATTCTCAAGTAGTACTTTGGGAATCATCTCGTTTTTTAGTCAGAGTGCGAAGAACGATGAATATCTCTTCGTTGATAATATTAAACGGAGTAACATTATAACTAAACCAGTATTAATTGGTTAATATTTGTGGAATTTTAGGCCAGTACTTATATATACCTATATAATATGGATCTAATACACTATGCTAATATCTTAAAGGCATCAAGGCGATGTGTAGATTGAACATGAATCATTCTTATCATTCAGTTTGACTCAATTTGTTTTAAGAATCCAAGTAAATAATACGAAGCATATAACTACAAAATTAATAAAGTTATAGAAGAAATAATATCAATTGGCTTGGGAAAAGTAGGACATTATTAATTTGATGAAACGCTTGACGGAAATACTGTGGACTCTCACTAACTTTATATTGCTAGACTTTATTACTTATACTCTAGAAACTTACCTAATATTAATCCTATATAAGACAATAAGTTTCTAAGAAGGAAAATAAACGAATACCAGTGTCTTATTTTTTTATATCACTTATTGAGATTTATCATGTGCATTTATGCTTTTCGAATACAATTTAAATTAAAAAATCAGGGCCAATAAACAAAATAAAAAAAACACTGCAACATCAAATCTGTAACAACTATATTAATTAAAAGTCAACAGATTACAGGAGAGCAAAATTAAGAATAACTAAAAACTAAAAAATAAGTCGGATGATAAACTGCAAGTAAGTATAAAGACATCTCAAACACTTATAAATGCATCCCATATTTTTTGTATTCATCAAAATAATGAAGGAAACAATGAAATCTAAATAATACTAAATAAATCCAGTACACTAATGATTAAAAAAAATAACAGCTAAGTAATTTTAATTAACATTAAACAACACTTTAAAAAGAATATTGATAAAATTACCTTTAGACAAAACACAGGCTCTGAACATAATAATTCAAAGAACATCAAAACATGGTATATTTATTTAAAGAAATAAAAAAAAACAATTAAAAACTCCTTTGATAACTGTAATAACTCAATAAAACACCCCTGAAGCCTTAAGTCATAAAACAAGCGACAAGTATTATTAATAATTATGTCAAATAATTATAACACAACCTACCTGCGAAGTCGTTTTTTATTAAAGTAAATACAAAATTACATCCGCAATAAATCGGTATGTTATTTAAAGAAATATAAATCTCAATTGGAATCACGCAGGTTGTAAATTTCAGGAATTTTACTATTGACCAAAATTTTAAAATTGAAGTTGAAACGATCAACTTAAAACAAGGTAAGAGTTATTGTTATTTAATTTTAATAATAGCTAAAACTAGATGATATACATTTAAAATAATCTATTTAGTTAAAAACAAAAAAAACAAAACACCCATAAAAAGGAAACTGAACTAACAATCGATTTCATCTTTTTTTGTCCTATTGATATGATTTGAAGATGTGCGCAAATTTTCAAGTTTGCATCTAGAAACATACATACATACCAAGGTAATAAGATCGTGTTAAT